CTACTTGAATATCTACAACTGAAGTAGTTTTCCAAATTAAATCGGAAATATTCATAAGTTCAACATAATATACCCAAAGGGGTAGCTTAATGGTCAATGAGGCGGGTGAAAACTATAGAAGATCATGGTTAAAATAACAAAAAAGCCGGGTGATGTCTTCTCGTTTGCCTAAAACGAGGGCAACATTACCCCTACTGCTGGTGGCAGATAATGAAACAATTAAGTATGTCACAAAATCAGATTTTTGTACAAATAACTCACGTGTAAACAAATAAATTAAATAAATAAATACAAAAGTCTAAACAGAAGCCTCGCCCTGCTAAAATTGTTTAATTTGATGTTACTATGTGCAGACAAATGGAGACGTACCAATTTGAGAGATGAAGCTTGGGAGAAAAGAAAGTAAGAGGAGGGCACTTGTGTTGAGATCGGATCTGGTAATCTCTGAGCTGCTCAACCAGTTTAGACCTTGTTATCATGTTCCCCAAACGATCGGAAAACTTTTCCTCCGATCTCAATCGAATTTTTGCGCTCAATTCCAATTGCAAATTCAGAAGCAGCGAACTACATCTAGGTAATGGTGGATTCGGAATTGAAGAGACTCCCTGAATAAACTGCTATACTGGTCCATGGTATGTTTATCAATGAAAAGAAATTAAATAAGATGATGATTTTTAAAATATATAAAAGTATGCAATTAATAATATTTAAGAGTAAAAAAAAATACAAAATGAATTAAAAAGAAGTATACTATAATACCTTCATATAAAATATGCTAATGCTATTTGATTGGTGGTATTAAATGATATTTGAATTACAAAAATTGATGTTATTATTAGTTTATGCTTTTTTGGATGTGGCATATGAATATATACTCGGGATATGAAAAATTAAAATATTTAAAAGCAAAATTTTATCACTGCATAACAATTTTTTCATTATTATTCAGGTACTATGATCTCTGCATAATTAGTACTTCATTAAATCAACAAATTTTGAAGCTTAAAGTTTAAACTAGCCAGCTGGGCCCTATTAAACTCACATTAAGAAAAGTTTATGGATTTAAGGTGACAACTTTCAAATATTTATATCGAGAAGAAAAAAAGGCTAGGCTGGGCAGGGCAATCGGATTAACAGCCGGGGAGTCTGTTGAACAAATTGATCGCGCGGGGGAAGAGAAGGCAAAAGAATAAGGAAGGAGATCTATAATTGATATTGATTAATGGCGACGCCAAGATCAGATATGTTGGATAGAGATTTAGAGCTTCTGATACCGGTGGGAGGGATTGAGAATATTAATGCCTCTCACTCCATATCTTCTCCTCCTTCTCATTCCCCCAATGTTGCCTCTTCTTCTTCTACTAGGTCTCATCACTCCTCTGGCAAAGAGGTTTCTCCATCTCTCTCTCTGTTTCATTAGTGAATGTGCCACAACATTTGTGATCATCAATGTGAGGGTTCGAGCTGTGGTATCAGCATCTTGCAGAAATGCAGGGTAAGGCTGCTTGCAGTAGACCTTGTGGTCCGGCTCTTTTCCAAATCCCGCACATTGCGGGAACTTAGTGCAACCTTGGTGACTCTTTTTAATGTGATCCACTTCCTAATTGACATTTTATGGGTAGCGGAAGCTTAGACATACTTGTATGAAATGGATGTTATATGTCTGGATAATTCGTGAAAATTCTGTAAGATTCTCCCAAAAAAAAATTGCGAAAAATCATAATGAATACTTATATACTGGATATCTACCCGTAAACAAGTCCATGTAACGTAGAAAGTAAATTGGGATATCTACTGTGTAAGAAATACAAATAGAGCTTAGACATTAAATAGCGTGATGAATTGCAGAAGAATCGTTTCATTCTATTTTGTCTTAATGAGAAGCCAACCAATATTTTTGGTTTAATTAGTCAAATTGGGCCATCTATCTGCGCAGTACATTTTGAATGTGTTTGTAATCTTGTTTTCTGTGTTTTATCATCCATGACTAAGCTGAATAATTATTGCCACTTCATTCAAATAAGAGTAACCTACTATGATTATGGTTTCTTAGTCCAAATAAGTGTGTTAAAGAACTTTTGAATTTTGAGCAAAATATGAAGGGTGCTTTTGTGTTTAGTCTCCCCCCTTTTTCTTTCCATGCAGGCATTTGGCAAAGTAATTCGTAGCTGGACTTCAAAAAAGTTCATCAGCGGATGGTTAGTTTTCTGTTGCTCAGAAATTGATCTGTTCGTCCCGTTGTCGTGCAGTGTTTTTTCTGTTCGCTGAATGGTACATTTGCATAAATGTTTTCAAATTGTTTTGCAGTGTCATCTTATTTCCCATAGCCATAACCTTTTACATCACCTGGGGGTTCATTCATTTTGTGGATGACTTCTTTTCTCCGATCTATAATCAGCTTGGAATCAATGTATTTGGTTAGTACTCATCCTTCATTACGTACTTGTCTATTTGACTCTGCAAAAACTGACATCTACATTTTGTAAGGATTTGCCATTTCCTCCTCTTGTTTGGACGGCTCATAGATATTACTTGCATCAGAAATAAGTGTTCATCTGACTTCCCCACTGAGAAGTCACTGCCATTATTATTTTCATACTCTGTGTTCATGGACACATTCTATAGTTATACTTGATCATATCATTTTCACCTCCTAGCGTGCAGAATATTGAATCACGCTTCTAGAAATATAATTTGAGGCTGTGCTTAAGGTGTACTTAAACCAAAAATGAGTTATGAGGACGGAGACTCACCTCAAAGGTTAAGATGGTTTATAGTGGTCAGTAATTTCGTGTGTGCGCCTCTCTATTTATGTATGTATCCGACCTCCAATTTGATCACCTATATTCTTTATTGGAGAATTTGGAGTAACATATTTAATTTGAATAAATGGTTGCTCTCAAGGAAAATGTCCGTCTCTTAAGCTACTACATGATAAAATTGGTCCTTGTATTGAGAAAGAATAGATCTATGGCTGCTGTTAAATGAGCACTGTATTTATCATTAGTGTTCATATTGACTCACAGGCCTTGGATTTGTCACCTCCGTGACTTTCATCTTCTTCGTTGGGGTGTTTATGTCCTCATGGTTAGGTGCCTCTCTTCTTAGTTTAGGAGAGTGGTTCATTAAAAAAATGCCCCTCATGAGCTACATCTACTCCGCTTCCAAGCAAATTAGCTCAGCAATTTCACCAGGTATCCTACTAAATTTTGAAGTTCTGATTCTGAACATTCCAATTACTAATCAGAATGCAGCAATTTTTTTCCAGATAAGACTTCTCATGCCTTCAAAGAAGTGGCCATAATAAGGCATCCGCGGCTTGGTGAGTATGCATTTGGCTTCATCACTTCAACTGTCATGCTTCACAAGAATACAGGTGCAGAGGAACTCTGCTGTGTTTATGTGCCGACTAATCACCTCTACCTTGGAGATATATTCCTTGTGAATTCTAAGGACGTTATGAGGCCCAATCTCTCTGTTCGAGAGGGGATAGGTAAGACTCTAAATTGGAACATTTACTTTGCAATTTTTACCTTCATCTTTTCAAATGATATTACTATGTTCAATGTCCAAACGATGTAGAAATTGTTATCTCCGGGGGCATGGCTGTACCAAAAGTGCTGAACGTACAGGAAGTGCAATCCATTTTATCCCCAAGAGTTGGAAAATTTGCAGTTCCACAAGTTTGATTACTCAACCATTTGAACGAGAAACCATGGAAAATATGGCTGGACGGGTAAACCGGACATACAGCGTGTAGAAATGGGGTTAATAATTCATGGATAAGAGGATCTTACAAGAATATATGCCTAATCTTGGTGATTTTTTGGTACATTAATCTGATTTTGTAAAACAACACTAAACAAACAAGATTTTGTCAAATGAGCTCGAGTTAGATATCGAGTACGAGTCATTCCTATATATAGCTATAATTTCTCCCTAATCTTGTTTTCCAACGGAGCTTTACTTCTCAACAACATGCGTATATATTTCTTTTCTGATGGAAACAATAATCTATCCCACAAAAATAAGAATAAAGTGTGCGTACTTATTTCATCCTCTCTAGATCTCTCGCTTACGAAAACGGGGTATGGTGTTGTTATTGTTGTTAGAGTGGGAAGAACATTATGTTATAAGAGGAGCACGTCAATAATCTAAGAATGGCATGCAGGGTCATTTGTTAGTTTATGAAACCAAGAAATGTTTCTTGGCTAGATCTGGCCGGTCCATTATGTTCATCTCTCCTCTGCTACCTTTAAGAAAGTGGGTGTGAAGTTCGAAAACCATTTTAAATAGAGTTAAAGTTTTGGATGGTTATTGCCTTATTGCCTTGGTTTTAATTAGTTTAAATAAGATAGTTATTTTTGTTATTTATTTTATTTTATCGTATTGTTAAATTTTTTATTATATAATGATAAAAAGTCTCATTTGTGTAATAACCGATTTGGTGTGATCAAAGGCTGCTAAAATTTTTTTTTCCTTGCTTTTATCTTCACTTATTATGTAACAATCTATTTTATCTTTTACTCCATCTTTTATAATAAATATCCCCGTATAATATTTTTCTTTAAATTCATCTTTTCAAATTATGGAAAAGGACATTATGTAACAATGAAACTATATAATCTTTGGCTCTAAACGTTGTATTTATTAAAATAATATAATATAATATAATATAATAAAATATATTATGAAACAATATATAACAACCATCCAAACAAAGAAAAGGAAAATGCATATAACTCTATTTTTAATAAATTAATTTATAATCTCTAGAATAAATTATAGCCAATAATAAGTTAAAGTATAATAGCATAAAAATTCATTATGTTAGGTTGATTCTTTTTGAATTTATTTCAAATGAAGTAGAAGTCTAAAGGCTATATCACTCCTCGCATACTATAGGTAGCAGTTTTGAGGGTCCTGAAAACCTGAATTGAATATCCCCGTCGATTTTCAACTCATTATATAGCATTATTTGAAAGAATTGGACAAACACATCCGTTATCGTCCAGCGGCAGGATATCTGGCTTTCACCCAGGAGACCCGGCTCGATTCTGCAACGGAATTTTTGAGTATTTTTGCTCCAAGTATTCCATTCATTATTTTTTATTTGCAGGTATATTAAAAGCACTTGTTCCGAAATAATTATCAATTTTAAAATTTAAGAAATAAATGATTTGGATTTTTTTTCAACTTTACACTTAATACTTAAGTCATTCTTATTTGATAGATATATTAAAAGTACTTGTTCAAAAATAATTATCAATTTAAAATTTTAAGAAATAAATGACCTATTTTTTTCAACTCTAAGCGTAACATTTAAATTATTTTAAAATGTGAAAAGAATAATTATGATTTTCAAAACAATATCTATCAATTAATAAAATTATTAGCCATATAGCAACCCCTATTAATTTTTTCTTAAAGAATATTTAAACCTCATCCTGCTGAGTACAGAAAAACCGAGGAAGTAGTAAATAATTTATCCAGTAAAACATTACATGATCGGTGCTACAAATAGCTTCTCCAGTCTCTCAAAACTTTTCCAAAAGAAGAGCTATATCCATATAGCTTTCCCCCAATCTTCACCCACTTCATGAGCACAACTTCCACAAAATTGCTGCTGTTACCCAAAAACATCATTCAATACTTTTGGTACAAGTTCACCTACGTCAGCAGCCCAAATTTACAAAATTTTGCTGGGGTTACCAAAACATAATTTGATACTTAATATAAGTCCACCTAATTATAAAACATATTTGTCATCAGCTGTTGAGAGTAGACAGCACTCCTCCAGTTGCAGTTGGAATAACTACTTCCCAACCAGGTCCTTTGGGAGGAAGCACATTAACACACGATTCAGTGTGTCCGGCTTCACCTGAATGAGGATGGACAAGTAGATCACGCCGGTCTAAAATCCTCTCCAGATCTTCATCACTAACATCTGTCTGCACCATCTTGTCCTCTTCACTATCTTGATCTCTCAAGAGAGCCAACAAATCCTCCTCCTGCAACAGCAAAGATCAATTAATAAAATTTCACCTATTATTTTCATCTACCATGTGCCATAAATAATCTCATCTGTCTCATTGCTGCTGCATACCACAGAAAAGAACGGGTCTAAAGACTACAAAAAAGGTAAAACAGGAACATATTTGAACAAGTAATGAGAATGTAAACAAACAATTACTGTCGGTTGTTGAGATTATCAATAATAGTTGCTACACTATTGAAGTGTTTGAAAGATAGCAACTCGCTGATGACTATACAAGGAAAAGAGAATTTGCAACATAGAATGATAAATAGAATTTCTTGGAAGGGGAAAAAGCAGAAACCTCTGTAACATCCTTAGCATCCATGGAAGGTTTGCTCCTTTCCTGCATAAATTGTCCTTTTCCGATAACCACATGCTCAAGCTTCAACTTGCTAAAAGCTCTTTTGAGGATACGACCCTGAAGCACACATTTCTTTATTAGAATGAGCAATAAAGAGCTGTAAACATACTTTTAGATATAGCCTGAATCATACCTCCACAGACAAAGCTGTTGAAAGCCGGTAAACATGAACAGGTTTAGTTTGACCAATTCTATGACACCGATCCATTGCCTGTAGATCCATTTGAGGATTCTGAAAAGAAAATTCAAACTAAATTATCAATCTAAAATGGTCATCAATTCACAAATGCTACAAAACAAGGAAAAATAGAACCCGGAGAAATTAAATGAAGAAAAAGCAAATGTGAGGCAATAACTATTTTTCTTTTGAAGAGGAGCTATTTAAACAGAGCAAACTTCAACTATAGTCAATACAACAACTGAATTGTGAAATGCAAAGACATACTAAGAGCTGTGATGACTTTATTTCTTATGACTACATTTAGACATCAAAACACAAGGATGTATCTGATTAGAGGAACTATCATGTACAAAATTACTGATTCTTAAGACTGGAAACTATGCAGTACTTCTCAAGATGCATTCAACGGCCTACTTATCAGAAGAATAAAAAATCTACTTTCATCTTTGATATCATGGAATTCTTCATCCTAAAAGTAAATTACAGCACTGTTCAATGGGTGAAACCATGCAAAAAAACATTGGAATAATGAATGAAAACATAAGGGATCTTTAAGAACATACCCAGTCACTGTCATATAAAATACAGGTATCAGCAGCAGTGAGATTGATACCAAGGCCACCAGCTCTAGTGCTAAGAAGAAAGATCCTGTACTTGCTGCTAACATCATTGAACTCATTGATCTGTTCCTCGAATAAGGAAAATACAAAACAGATCAACTTCATTAAGAATTTACAGATAACGAACTAGATCAGGTGACCTCCCTATAGCACATTCCAATAGCACATGAACTACAATAAGAGCCTAAATATTTTAGAGGGAGTTCAAGTGAGAGGAACATTAAAATAATGCAACATTTAGAGTAGCCAATAAGAAGGGAGTTTCACCAAAATAAAACAACATAGCACTAGATATTAATATATAACAAAGGAAATGGAAACTTTGCTCTGTAATGAAAAATGATAAGGGGGCAGCAGATGAGATAAATTGAAAGGAACAATAGACTTCAGTAAGAGAGTGAATCAGCTTTTATAGGAAAAAAAAGAGTGAAGTAACTTAGAGTACAAAAGAAAATACTGTACGAACAGAAATCATTAACCCCAGGCACTTTCTCTTGGCAATCATGAGAGAAGTACAGAAGTTGATTGGTGCACCATCAGGATTCTTCCAGATGTTCCACACACATCAGGAGAAGTGAAGTTCCACACAATCAGAGTTAAGAATATTAGAAGGTTATCAACACACCCATGGTAATATCCAGATGTTCATAAACACTCCTGCAGACTATCCTAGCTACATGGCCATAACTGCTCATAAATTCTGTGAGCAAGAGAAGCTGGATTGATAAAACAATTGAGACAATCTTAGGGGGATAACAGACTTGCAATGTGAAGTACCAATTTTCTACATCATCACTGGTTCAAACCTTACAGAATCAGAACAAAAACATACTGGATCTGTGTAAAAATGTAAGCACCAAATTACCTGTCTTTTTCTTTCATCCAATTTCACATTGCCATCAATTCTACAAACATCGAATCCCCTTTCACTAAAATAATAGTCCATTATGTCTAGTACTCTAGTCCACTGTGAGAATATCAAAACCTGTTGGCAGTTAATGAACTGAGTTTAAAAGTTTGAGCTAAGTGGGAAGACAGAAAAGCTTGAAGCACCAGACATTTTAACAAACCTTGTGCTTCCGCGCAAAAAGCTTTGATAACAGCCTGTCCAACAAGCGAAACTTGCCACATTGTTCAACTATTTGTTCCACAGGTGGATAAAAATCTGCCAATTAAAAAAAACAAAATAAAAGGCTAGCACCAACAAGCACACAATTGTCAATTCCACAATTCATCCATCACATACTAGAACCATTGAAGATAGACTCCAAGAGGTCAGGATGGTTGCAATTCTTGCGCAGTTGAATCATCAAGTTATTAAGCCTTCCTTTAAATCCACTCCCTGCAAAATCAACCAGACAAGGCATTAGGACTGTGAATTCTACAGGGTCTAGGAATAACTAAATGATGGTACATAAAACAAAATTCACTTCACAGGATAAAACCAACATAAAAGACACTTAAATAATACTGGAGATGCCATAGCATGGTAAAAGAAAATCTGTGTTCTATTACAACAGAAAAATAGCAGAGATAAACCATCACAATTCCCTCAAAATAAGATATATATTAAAATTTTACACTGATACAGTGGACACGTTCTGTATAAAACCGAAAATCTAGAAAGAGAAAACCAACTCAATTCAGTGCACATGTCCTCGATGAACCTGAAAATCTAGAAGTAATCAACCAATTCATTTCCCTCAAAATCAGATATATATTTAAGATTGCACTAATTACCAGTGGACACATTCTCAATCAAATAGCCCTCCAGAGTCCTATTAATTAGGTGTTCCTGGAACTTTTTCTGGTAATCTGTCATGGTGGCATACAAAATTATCTCCTTCTTACGAGGAAGCATCAGCTCAACATCCACTTTCATCCTCCGTAGAAGAAAAGGGCGTAATATAGCATGGAGTTTTGCCACCACCTGCAATTACCACATTATCAATCAAATCATAAGTGTTTTAAAATGGAAAAGAAACGGTTATATACTGCAACATAATCATACTTGTGCTCTCCTTCTTTCCTCCATCTCTTCTTTTTCGGATTCATTGCTGAACTTCCCCGACAGATCGAACCTGATATATAAACAGACCACATAATATATAACCTAGGATTCTTCATGATTGACATTCACTACAGCTTATATAGGAACAAAGTTGGGGGATGATCAAAACAGTGGCAGATCCTACATTTGATACTCCTGTTACATGCAACTTCATACTGATAGACAAAGTACAATTCATCATCCCCTATGAACTTTGAAAGAACTGGTGTAATTACTCTAGTACAAGTGACTAACTCTATAAAATAACAGCACGTATCAGGAGTTCTAAGAACAGACCACAATAGAAAGTCAGCAAGGAGAAACAGGGCCACTCTAAACAATCTAAGCAACTAGACACCATATATGCACAGGATATCTGTTCAATAGACTGATAAATGGGCTAGCCATTTTGCTGATGTGACAAGTTTTAACTCGGGATACTAAAAACTGAAGAGTAGACAAACAAATTATTTGAAGGTGAAAAAAGAACTTGGCCTGCAACTTTTGCAAAACATAATAACATATAACATGAGCAGATGAACATAAATATTAATTATATTGCAATTATAATAACTTGTTTAAGCAGTCACAAGAAAGCACTCTGACCAAAATGGTCAGAATAAACAGCTGATTACCATGACTCAAATTCATCATGGGATGAGAATATATCAGGCAAAATGAAGTTTAACAAGGACCACAGCTCAGCTAAGTTATTCTGCAGAGGGGTTCCAGTTAATAGAAGCTTGTTTTCAATCGGCAACAGCTTCAATTCTTTGAGCAGTTTGCATTTTGAGTTCTTTAGCCTATGTCCCTTAGAAA